CATGAGTAGGCAGGGCGGTGGGATTTTTTCTATTGCGCCCCACGCCTAGCACAGATCGCCTTAGGCCTTGGGAGCACTTGAGGCAACCAACCAACCAACCAACCAACCAACCAACCTGGGGGCTAGATCTGTGGGGAAACGGCAAGTCAACCAGCCATAGCCCGATGGCCGTACAACTAATCGATGCCAAAAAATGGGCATGTGGCTAATTCAGGTTAGGGCGGAGGGATTTGACTGGGGCAAGATTGATGAGGGGACGGCATCGGGATGACTAGCAGTAGTGGATTGGCAGAAGGGCAGCCAATCGGGCGCGCTCGAGTTGTGACGATGACTTGCTAGGCTGGAACTTTCTTCTACAGACACGGCGCGACGATACCGGGCAGTGCTTGACCGAAAGCTGCCCCTCTGCCTACAAGACGTTTCTTTGTTAGCCTTGCCAGCTTTGGGGCGCACTCAGACTTATGCATCTCTGGCTCACTGGTGTGGATAAGTGAGCCCCTGGACTGGTGATTGAGCGTGCAGTGTCGGGGCCCGACTTGCCGGCAGACCTGGTGACGTGGCCAGTGTATGAGCGCACAGCCGCCAGACTGGCCCAGAGAGGGCACCAATCGTGGCGACACGGGTCTGAGCACCACACGACTGGCTGCCACATGCAGAGCATAAACGAGTGTTGAGTCTGCACAAATGCCTACCGGCCCTCGTTCATGTGTGTACGAACATGTGGGCCTGACTACTGTTTCAAACAGGTCTACAGGCGAGATGACGCGCCGGGTAAAAAGACAGTGAGTAGGTCAAGACGGAGACAGCATGTCATGATGTGATCGAATCGATTTGGATTATGCTAACCAGGTGAAATTAATCTGGCAAGAATGTTCTTTTGATAGGGCGTCTCAGAGTGCAATCAGGAGAGGTGAGAAATTCAGTCGTGCTCGTTCTCATACCCGATTATGGCATGGAGGGGGGTTAAGTTAAGGCCAGGATTGAGGTAGACCAAAGGCATGGAGATGTGTTAAAAATCAATGAGAAATGGGGGAAAGTGGTGTGAAGCCAGTCTCAAAGCCGTGTGGCAGAACAAAATTATGCCCTGTAACCCCTTAAACATATTTGATGCCGTATGATTGGTGCTCTAAAAGCATTAGCTTGCGAGGGCAGAATCCTGCTTTATTGTATCAGTTAGAAGAAATAGTCTCCAGATTAGGATAAGAGCCCAACATCCTAACTAAAAGTTGGCCAACGTGTGCTTTTAATTTTGGGATGTGATGACTTGCAAACGCGTACACAAACGCATGGTCGCGCAGGCACGCGGACACACGCCAAGGCATGGAGGAGGTGGAAAAGCCTGAAAGCATAATGAGGGACGAGTATGATAAACACAGAAAAAGCAAATGCAAGTAATACTTGTGGTTATCCTCTTGCATGCTCTCTCTTTCCTGTCAGCCCTGCCAGATCTTGGATAGCGTTCCACGTCTCAAGAAGTGTGATGTCTGTCTCGCGATCGAGGCGGCCATTCCATCTCATGGGAAGTAGACGTGGCCAAGTCAGGCTAAAATAGGCCAACTGGAGTTGTTCAATCGCCTGGTCCCTATCATACATCCAATGTAAATTCACTTAAGTAGCTATCCATCCACACGTGTTCCACTATGCCAATCAACCTAATTCACTCACTCGAGAAGGCATTCACATTCTCTCCATCGGCCTGGGCCTCCACCGTGCTCTCGCATATACCCTCACACACACAGGCTCCCAATAATTCTACCTTTTTCTTGGGCTGTTATAATCGTGACTGGATAAGACAACAAATAGCAAAGACAGAGCCACAGAAGTACCAGAAAACAGAGAAATAACCCAACTGCTGGTCCAAATGCGAACGAGTATTAAATAGACACCGAAACAAACACAGGCGTGGACAGAGATGTCCTGTACAGTCAGACTTGTGCAGGCATGTATGCAAGCGAGCAAATGTCTTCTCTTTTGCGAGTTGGTCCGTTGGAATGTGCGCTATCTTGGGGAAGTGTGAAATAGTCGAGCTGTATCAAGGAACGAACTTGCAAGCGATAAATAGTCCAACAACGACAAGTGAGACTGCCTCATGGACTGGCTTGCTATATATTTAAGCCCGGCCCTAGGACAGAAATCATGCTGCAGGGCTGTAACGACATTGGCGCCAAGCAGGAATTGAGAACATGAATTAGTCAGGAAGCCGCCACACATCCACGTAGCATGCTGGAAACTAAATTCTGGCTTCCCGGTTCGTGAGTAGCGCGCAAGGATGACAAAAGACAATTAATTGTATCTTAATTATTCGGTCATGTGAACTTCACCCAGTTTTTTTAAGGTTCATTCTCGAAAGAGTGAAAGGAGAGAACAGTAGCAATTGAAATTGGCATTATCCAAAGCGTTTAGTCTTTGTTGTGAGTTGGCCTAGCCTTTAACTGGAACCACCGGCCAATAAGATGCATCCCTAACTAGTATGAATAAAAGGAAATGGGAAGTTCTAGAGAATATGGAAACACTGAGAACATTGATGAAGTGACAAGGTGATCAAGGTTTGCTTTAGGTAAGATTAGGATCGAAAACAGACTATGCAAAATGATAAAAGAATGGAGACAAAATATAATGGCAATTTTGGTAAATACTCAATAAGAAATGCACAAATTTCATTAAAATGAGCCTGAAAAGGTGCAAAGATGCACTTGTGAATAGGGCAGTTAACTAAAAGGCGAAGGGCAAAAATTTGCCTAATGTTATTTTAGATGTTTAAAGTTGAGGCTATTCCAGTGAAGTGAAAATGGGATATGACTATGCGATAGAATTCAATTTTTCGTAATTCCTAAAAATGTTTTCTCATATAGGATCAACTGGAGGTTCGAACTCTCAGCAGAAGTTTAATCCAGAATAAACAATTCTGAGAATGAGCATGCAACAAATAATGAATGATGAGCCTGGGAAATAGTCATAAAAAGAAAAGAACAATGAAGCAAATGAACTACAAATCAATCGGTTCATTAAGTCCAACTTACTACGAAGGGTCAAAATGGAATAACAAGGTCTACGATCTATTACGTGAGCAATGTGGACAATTAGACAGAACAAGATCAAATGCCTTTATATGCCTAATTAGAAGCTTCACGATGAGGCGCAAAATCGATACCGTTCAGAATAAAGTACCTAGTTTTGTGACATACAAAAATAATAAAAGAAAGATGATGGCATGTGAAAATGAGCGAATGGATATAGAAAAATAAAAATTAAGTTTCACTGGATAAAAGCAATGGAAGGAAATCTAGAGGAAGAATGTCCTTTCAGACGTTATATGGATTGTTGAGCTTACTTCCATTTCGAGTGAAAATGTTGGGTAAAGAGATTCGAAGGTCAGTTCCACCAGAAGACGACGGCTGATTTTCTTGACCAGCTATCGATTGACTTTACTGGAAGATTCACGCTGACGCTGTTTCCGAGGTGCTAAGCTTTCGTCCTCCATATGACGAACATCATCATCGTAACAACAAAATGTAAGCTAACGAATCGTCTTATGGTAGAACCGACCGTCGAATCTCTTCACCCAACACTTCCATTGCTCTGATGATGTCCGTCATATGACGGACGAAAGCTTAGCACATTTTCATCGGAATGGAAGGAGATTGCCTCGGAAACAGCGTCAGCATGAATCTTCCAGTAAAGCTGGTCAAGAGGAATCCGCCGTCGTCTTCTGCTGGAACTGACCTTCGAATCTCTTCACCCAACACTTTCACTTGAAATGGAAGCTCAACAATTATGAAACAAGAGATTCCTCGAAACCCAACTTTTCTTCGCATATGTATATGGATTATCTAAAAGGTATAGTGGCTAAAGAATAGTATATTGGTGGTATAGGAAAGACACCACAGGCGAGATGCCCGATACTGGGCGGAGTTTCTAGGCTATAGACCATAGACGACTTTCGGTAGTAAATGAAATCCGGACAAAAAAGTTCAGTAAAAAGTCAGAGATTAATAATGACTTACTAATACATTATTGAGAGATGCATGGAGTTAAGAAGTGGAGTTTTTAATGTTAAATCACACAAAAATGGGCTAGAAAATAAAAAATAGATGAAAACGAGCTAGTTTACTTGGAAGAAACCAACAAGTAGAAGCAAAATCATCTCAGAGACAAGATGCATTCACAAATTTCCTAAATTTACAACGTACTGCAATCATGACTTTAAAGGAAGGCCTAACAAAAACGTTAGGCTCTAATCTCGATCACATAGCAGTAAAAATTAAAAAATGAACAGGATACATTTCAAGCGGTATTGCAAAGGATGCATGCATAAGTGGAAATCTCTCGCAAAAAAGAAATAGTAAAGTTCAGTGGCATGGCGAAATAGTATAAAAGTTATACCAACTACACAAGTTGTGCCATACAACATTCTCAAAGTGAATTATTATATTCATAATAGAATATTTGAGCGAATAAACTAATACTGAAATTGATTCAATCTTCCTTGAAAAGTGAGATAGGCCCAAATTCAAATTTCTTTTTGAACATTACGCTCGAAGCATCATTGTTCTGAACGAGCAAATGGCCTTTAAAAATTTACCCAGGCTCTCCTAAATTGCAGAATTTTGCACTCATCCTAAGACAAAGAGTCTCCCTCTAAGAGCTTTTACACACCGACCCATAAACACTGATAAAAATCGCAATCAACCACGCAACCAAAAGTTGTCATTTCAAATGGTCCAAGAAGCTACCTTTAGCATGAACTGAAGACAATTAGGAATATAAAGAATGGCCCATATTATTAAACTTGGGCTTACTTGCATACATTCTCGCATCAAGTAAAAGACATTTCTAGTTAATTTGCTCAACGTCGTCCTCACGATGAATAAATCTCAATGGCATGTGAAAAAACCTGGAAAAGTCTTAGCTCATAAGTCGATTATTGTTAATTTGCATTTTTGGCAAAGCGATTTGAATTTAGGGGCACATAAAAAGTACCTGCATAATTTGAACAACCGTAGACAAAAGGGAATGAATTCAAAGAAAATTGAGAGTTGTTGCTAACTCACCTTGAGATAAAGTTCCTGTGCCGGCCAGTTGGCCCATCATTGAGGCTAACGAATTGGACACACCCAAGCTAGTACCGGATGCCGGAGTGTTAGGCTCCATGAAGGAGCCGAAAGAAGTGGGCTTGACGCACTCGGAGGCTGAGACCACTAGAGGGGGCGCTTGAGAAGTGATCATATCTCGGAGGCTACCACTACTGTCGCTAGAGGGGAAGATGGTATTCATTTTAGGAACGCTTATAGTGGTAATGGTGTCTGTTGGTGAGGTGAGGCAACAAGATTGTCCAGGAGTGGCGGTCAGAGCATTATTGAGAACGCCGTTTGCAGAAAACCTGTTTGCGGGACTCGAAAAAATATCATTAGTAAGCGCAATATTGTCGGCCTCGTTAGAGCTGCCTACTTGTGGACCAGCTTGAGAGGGTGGTCGATTGTTGGTGTGGCTGGCCCGTGGTGGTCGTGAAAGTGGTGGCGGCAACAAAGGTGGAGGTGAGGAGTGCTGACTTCTGCGTGAACCCGTTGAGCCGTCCGATCGCCAATCCTCAAGGCCCCCACTCCTGCTTCCTGAGGCTGTATTTACAGACTCGCAAGGTGAAATCCCGCTATTTCGGCCCTCAGATACACCAGTGACATGGTTCTGTCCACATAAGGTAGTTTTTCCAGAGTTGACCATCGTCCTGGATCCAGTAGAGGGAGAAGCATTTGAGCGAGAAGGGCTAGATAATGCAATGGACCCGGAACCATATGGCCCCTTGAATCCCTGGTCATGAGAATTGTAGGAATTATGGCTTTTTTGTTGATTTGGATGAGTATGGTGATGTGACGTTTGGGGAATTTGCTGCTGCTGTTGATACCGGTTGTTGAGGTCAAAGATCGCTTCAAAGCCAGGAGTACAGGACAAAAGGGAAAGTTGATTTTGGAGCTGTTGTAGCTGAGTATAATGACCACCTGAAGCCAGAGAGCTCATATGCTGCAGCAGTTGGAGCTGAGCTGCCATCATAGCAAGCATGGTAGCTTGCTCCTCCTGGCGATGGGCTGCAGCAAGTTGTTGTTGTTGGTAATGCTGCTGATATTGAAATTGCTGCTGCTGTTGTTGTTGTTGTTGGCATTGCGAATAAGAGACTAAAGATGCAAGAAAAGAATTTGCAGCAGAAGGGTCAGCAAATCCATTTTGCAAGGCTTGCAATGCTTCAGGAGCCAGAAGAGAGTTATGTCGAGGGTCGGCCGAGCCAAGCATAGCCATTGAGGCCATTGCCATGGCCATAAAATTCTGCAAGTCGTCGGAACTGAGAGATGATACAGGATGTGAAGTTGACCTAGACGAGCTGGCGATAGGGGCTGGGCCACTAGTAGCCTGTCGATGGAGCTGGTTTCGCTCATGAATGGAATGTAAGCCTGCCGAATCACGAACACCAGTATTTGACGTTGATGGTGAGTTGGACGAAACTCCGGCCAATGAAGTGATGGTGAATGGCGTAGGTCCTCCCCTAGATACATCTCCGATCGAGTTAGGTGTGGCTGTGTCTCGACTAGCGAAAGGGGATTGGGCAGGTGAAGGGGGACGGTGGGGAATTTGTGAATGTTGTGAAAATTGAGGACGATTGGATAAAGAGTTATTTGAAGTGTGAGATGTGGGAGGTTGCATTCCCGAATCATTGGGAAGCATGTTTGGATGGTTTAGGAGGCCTGCGAACAGATGAGGATAGTAAAGAACCATAGTAGCAGCGTATTCTTGTAACATTTGAACTTGCTGTTGCTGAAATATTTTGTCGTAGGAGGGACTAACAGTACTCAAGGTAGGTTGAACAGATAAGTTGTTTGGAGACAAACGACTTGAAATAACAGGTTCTGAAGATGAGTGGTGCAGAGAGGACGGCATATTTTGACACGGAGCAGGTTCGTTTAAACTGGCATAATTCAATTCCATGCCATTAGCGAAGCCATTTTCGATAGCTTGACTGGAATGAACTTTATAAGGAGAATTCCCAAAAGAATGTGAGTAATGATTGCGTTCTGAGTTAAGATTTTGATCCTTTATCCCTTGAGATTTTGTAGAAGACAAATCAAGCGATTTAAATCTAGTCGAATTCTGAGATGATTCGGAAACAGGAGAATGTCCAGCCAAACTAGATAGAAAGTCATTTTCAATTTCCCGTTCCTGTCTAGAGAAATCATTC